AGCAGTTACAGGGCCTTTCTTCTTGCTCTCCTAAAACAAAGTTCAGCTTCTGCGCATAGAGTTTGAGTGAAGGTTACCCCCTGCCTGACCAGGTACCCACAGCACTCACCTGCCTGCCTCAGCCATAGGGGATGAACTGGATACAGATATCTGGGCCATAGGAGCAGCCACGTCATTTAGCCATTGTGTGACTCTCCAAACATGCTATTCCTATGTCTAAATCCACAGCATTAGCCCACTTGGATTTTTATAGTTTCCTCCTACAGCTCTTCCTTAAAGAAAGGAAGTTTACGCAAATATCAAGCTTCAAGAGTCATTTTATATGGCTAATTAGGGTGCAACATTAGCAATCTTTCATGTTGAGCCCCTGTACCTGCGCTGCTGAAGATCTCAGCTCCTTTGTAAGCATGGGAAATTTCTCTCTCTACGGTGTCTATGGTATATAGGGCATAACTCTTCAGCCATCTCTCTCACATCAAAGTCTTTGGTCATAGTGTTAATAGAATAGGATCCTTATTTACTATATAGCATTTATAACTTAGTTGATATCCTTGATGCTTATAGTAATAATTTTTCGTCCAATAACCCAGCACAGGGAAGGTGAATGCAGATCACTTGCTCCTTGGGCACAGATTTTAGCTGTTCGATATATGTATTTTCACTGAACTTTGTTCTTACTGCAAAATGCTTCCAGGGTACCTTCTAGATTCGTCAGCTCTCAGGTGCATCTGAAAAAAAAAAAATTGAAAAAATTATATAATGCCAAGTTATGTAAACCTGGAAAAAGTAACAGTGAATTTATTAAACACCACCAGGAGTTATTTAAGAACCAAGTGCAGGAGGAATTGTGGTACAGAAAATAGGATCTATTTTTTTTTCTGCTTCTGCACTACTGTATCTTCCCTTTTTTTTTTTCTCAGTTTGGATACCCCATATGTTTGCTGTTTCTGCATTTCTCATGTTTTCCTCCCTCAGTTCCCCTGCCATACCTCATTTACCTTTTCTGATTCTATGGGAGTCAATTTTGCCAAGCAGGCTTTCTCTGTCTACTGCATTTTATAATCATTTGTATGCAGAATGCAATCTATATGAATTAACTAGATCCTAAATATATATCAAATCAAACATGAATTTTCAGGTTTGCAAAATTGCATCCCTGCCTCTGCTGATCCATCTGCAAGTAGGTACCATATGTCAGTTACTTTATCAGGAAGCTTCAGGGGGATCCATTAGAGAGAGTCCGCAGCATAATTAGAAAAAAGAACATTTGTTTTCCCAGCTGCCCTGTTTTCATCCTTCCTCTTCAAATGTTCTGCTGATTTCAATTAAGCTCACCATAGATGCACCAACCTGGTGAACCTGGGGTACTAATTGCTTTAAAACAATACCTTGCTTGCAAGGTGGATTTTCTTCAGTTCTTTTAGATGTAATCCCAAACTCCTCAAGGGATGCTGTCATGAAATACCACCTTGCTGTGGGGCAGCTCTGTGGTCCACAGGTGAGACGGCACCGTCACGTAAGGGTTAGCAGTCGAACCTCAGCAAACCCCAGCACTGGGGACGTGCCCTTTGGGAAGGATCCTGGCCGGCATGCTGGTGGCCACAGCTCCATCTCCAGCCCTGCTAGCACCCTCCCGGCTGCTCAGTAAGACATGGGGGCAGAAGTTTTTGAACCACGTTGTACTGACAATGTCCTGGGCTGACCACTCCCCTTAGCTGGGAGCAACCCAGGGTGTCACAGGGCCCAGAGCAGGGCTGTGTTCAGTGGTAGGATTAATATTTCTGGTTTTCCCTTTTCTCTTGTCCAAGGGGAGAAGCCTGTGCACAAAACATTTTATTTCATTAGGGAGTTCTTTTGTTTTGGTCTGTCTTTTTAACCCTGTTCGTAGAGGTCACTCTCTGTTTACAGCAGAGAAAGCAAGGGCAAAATGCGCATCTGCTTTAGGAGCACAACGTGGTGGGGTTCATGGAGCTCATCTTGCAGCCTCAGCTTGGCTAAAACAAGCTCTGCTGCCTCCTCAGATGAATTTATCCTTAATATGGTGAGTGCAGTTGTGACACAGACTTCTTGCCCTGAGGCTTGCTGTGCTCTGCTGGACACCTCGGTGCCGGCTCCCAAGGTGTGGAGGAGATGGTCCTGAGCCATCGCACCCCATTCAGCTCTCCACGGGAAACACCAGCAGAGCTCAAAGGATGGTCTGTGGGATCCGGCACATCTGCACAAGCTGGAAATAACTAATGACACATGTAACCACACAAGACTGCACCGTGGTGGCAACAGTGTGTCTCTGCACACCGGCCTCCCTGCCTCTGTCCAGGGTCTCTCCTGGCAAGGGTGCAGCGGTGTGCGGTGAGGGCTAAGTGCAGCTGCATCGGGAGCATGCTGCTGGTAGCTGCTCTTGCTTCCTTCGAAGGGCTTAGACTCCAGCTAAGGTGGAGGTTGAAGTAGGTGTTGAAGTGGGTGAAGACAGTTAAGTCCGGTGGAACGGGATGAGTAGCAGGCATACAGGGCAGCTGTGCTGCTCAACTGGAGCATCCCTCCTGGAGGGACTCAAACCATTAACCTCACCAGTTGTTCTGGCCTCCTCTGGCTTTTTCTTAGGTGAGATAGCAGCATCTCAACAAGCAAAAGCACACTGTGTATCTAAATTCGTAATGCTTTGTGCTTAAACTTCACCTGTCTGTCCACAAGCCATTCTCATTTGCAAGAAATTTACCCTGTGTGTTGCCCCAGGTCAGGTGCATTAAAACATCCTCTGCTTCTCCCCACTTCTCTCCTGCATCTGTTTTTCTGCTCGGTGCAGTTTTGACAGCCCACCAGCTCTAGCATCCATGATGTATTTTAGAGCAATTTCAAGTTCAACATTTTTTTCCCAGGTCAGACTCTTACTGGAGAAAACCCCATAGGAAAATGCACCTTTACGCATTGCGATGTCTAGAGAGCTTAGCAACACAATTGATACAGAGTGCCAAGAGTGCCTCCTTTTATTTAATTAAAGTAGATGGGGTTTAGCTGTCAATATACAAGTTTTGTTCTTTTTCAGTTCTTAGCATAATTACCTCACTGTGGAGATCCACAAGGCAACAAGGGAGGAACAGTTATTTAGCCAAAGGGAGTCAATAGATGCAAGTGACTAATAAGTCATGGGTGCTTACTAGCTACTTAATTTTCATGTATTGCCTGCAAGGATGTTAGAAATACGGAACAAAGGCTAATTTCATGGGATCTAACTGTTTAAAATTGAAGTAAGGTTTTCAGGAGATGTCCCCCAGAAAACACCAGTGTGTGCTAATGAGGTAATGCCAGATTTCAGCTTATTTCTACAACAGACACATTGTGGTTGCTTGCTGCTTGTCCCAGGTTGCCAGAGCAGCTCTCACCAGGGGAAGCAGAGCAGGATGCCTCGCTCCCCTGTGCTCTCAATCAAGTTTCCTCATGCAATTTACAGCTGGATTAAGTGGAGCCAGTGGAAATAAAATATTTATAAAATCATATTTAACTCATTACCTCATGTTTCAGTTCAGAATTTGGGGACCAAACAGTAACTCTGACCTTGAAGAGGTTTGTCAATGCCTGACAACACAATGCTGTGGGCCAGCAACAATAGCAGTCAGTCATAAGTAACTGAATTTCATCAAGGTGGTGTGTAAATATAATTAAAACTTCAGAGAGATCAAATAAACATCAGACTCTGATGAGTTAGTTCAGCTGGATGTGGCAAGAGAAATTAGCAAAGCTGGTGTTGCTGCATGGCATCGGTGATTTGCCTGCTGTTGACCAAAGGGTTTGTGGTCTTGGCACAGGTCAGGCGGTGTGAGGCTCCACGCTGGGTTTCCACCGGCCTGCGCTGCGTGAGTGAAGGCACGTGCTGCTGTGTGGAGGCTGAGACCTCAGCGAGACCCTCATTTAATGTTAGACTGGGTTTTATACACTGTGTCTTTCACTGGGGTGTTCTTACAAGTGATGGTCAGTGTGGGTGTCACTCAGAGCCTCTGCTCAGGACAAGGGTCCACCAGGAGAACAGCTTTTTTGAAGCCAAGCATACTGTACAGTGAACCGTTCTAAGAAAGGAAAGAGTATTTCATGGGTGTGTGATACTTGTGCACTGATCTTTGTGGCTTAAATGACCTGGGAGCCTCTCCTGGTGTTTCTGAATAACTTTTCTCTTCAAAATCTTCATCTCACCCTTTGCATTTCTGTATTTTTGCTGTAGGCCATCGGACGTCCACACATGCCTGCCTATTGGTCTCTGGGATTTCACCTCTCCCGATGGGGTTATGGCCACATTGATGTTTTAAAGAAAACTGTGGATCGCATGCACCACTATGATATCCCATATGTAAGTATGACTTTTTCATGGTGTATGCTAATTTTACAATCCAAAGTGAGATGAATAAAATTACAACAGAGGACAAGTGATTATCTTGCAAAGAGAATTGTAGGATAAAGGGATCTTCATAATCTCATGTAGTGGTTTTGCATGTAATATCTTTATAATGCTTAAAAGAACATTTAAAGCAGGCTTTGAACATGAGGTTTAAGTGCTGCTCTTGGCTGCATAGCAGGTGTTTCTGGTGTGGATTTACTGTTACGCCGTATGAGGTGCTAGCATTTTGAAAATAAATTATGGTACTTCTGATGCATATCACTGCCAAACAGTTGCTAAACTAGGACTTCTGCATTTCCATTTTGTCCATTGCTACCATGTAATTTTATGGGAGCTGAATTTGGCCTGACAACTATTTACAATTATTATAGCTAACCTCTTGGGTTTCATTTCACACGTTAGTTACCTTTCAGAAATACAGTTGCATACATTCTGATTTTCTGTAATAAATACTTCAGTCATAGAATTATAGAATAGTTTGGGTTGGAAGGGACCTTTAAAGGTCATCTAGTCCAACCCCCCTGCAATAGGAGGGACATGTTCTACTAAATCAGGTTGCTTAAAGCCCAATCCAACTTGAGCTTGAATGTTTCCAGGCATGGGGCATCTTCCGTGTCTCTGGGCAACCTATTCCAGTATTTCACCACCCTCATTGTAAAAAATTTCTTCCTTATATCTAGTCTGAATCTACCCTCCTTCAGTTTAAACCCATTACCCCTTGTCCTGTCACTACACTCCCTGATAAACAGTCCCTCTCCAGATTTCCTGCAGGCCCCTTCAGACACTGGAAGGCTGCTCTGAGGTCTCCCTGGAGCCTTCTCTTCTCCAGGCTGAACAACCCCAACTCTCTCAGCCTGTCCTCATAGCAGAGGTGCTCCATCCCTCTGATCATCCTCGTGGCCTCCTCTGGACTCACTCCAACAGCTCCATGTCTGTCTTGTACTGGGGCCCCCAGAGCTGGATGTAGTACTCATGTAATGTCTACTTTCAAAATGTTTAGGATGTCCAGCATCTTGATATCGACTACATGGAACGTCGCCTGGACTTCACCTATGATAAAGTGAATTATGCAGGTCTGCCAGAGTACCTCCAACAGCTGAAGAAGGAAGGAATGCACAATGTCGTGATTCTGGTAAATTAATGATGTTGCTAATTATTTCTCTGTTTATAAGAACTATTTGCAGCATAGTGTTCACAGCAGTATCTAGGTGCTAACACACGCATGCTATTGTAGCTGATTTTCCTTTTTTGTCATTTGTTGAGAAGAGCTAAGAACAATTTCTCACAGGTTTCATATTTAAATGTGTTGCATTTATCAGATATCTGTGTACCAGCACCATCTCTGTACCATAACATTAATTCTCTTTCATTTTTTCCCACTCAGTTATGAGAAATTTTGCTTCTGTTCAGGGCTGAGTTGAGATAGGATTGCTTTAGTGCAATCTTTCCAGAAAAAGAATAAATTAGTTTAATACACAGTCAAAAATAGTAGAATAGTGGAAAAAAGCTACTCATAATCACTCTGGAAAGCTAGTAGCTACAGTTCATGTTGCTTTATATTTACTCTTAGTCTGAACTAATGTAAGAGAAGTTTGTTTGCATGAAAATTAGTGGAAAACATGTTGAACCTGTAACCAAAACTGATATATGACCCAATGAATTAATTTGGGCAGAAGTGAAAATCAGAGATTTCTGTCTTCCCCCATCAATTTTTCCAACAAAGGTAGCTGCTTCTCTCCAGCAAGTTCCCACACAGGACCTTGCACTGAAATTACCTGTTGTCACAGTAGCTAAGTGAGTGACAATGGTGGAAAGGAAATCAGAGGCCAGAATTAAAGAAAAGTCCTTGACAGATGCATAAGACCTGGCCCAGAACAGGCTGGGGCAGTCACACCACTTGGGAGGGATCCAGGTGGGAGGCTCAGGAGTGCCGAGACCTGGAGCAGTGCACGTGGGTGTGAAACATCGCCACAGAGAAGAAAGGCATAATTTGTTCTCCATAACAGCTAAGGACAGGATAAGAAGAAAAGTGCTTTAAATTGCAGCAGAAGAGGTTTAAGGTAGACATTAGGATAAAGCTGCCTGTCTGCAAGGCGAGCCGAGCACCCGGCGGTTCCTCCCTGAGAGGGTGTTGCAAACAGGCCCGACATGCATCAGCCTCTCGTCCTGCTACTTTCTTTCCTGATATACTTATTCAAACCAGCATATTCTCCCTCAGCTTTTTCTGCTAGGTTAAACAAGCTGAAGTATTTCATTCTCTTTTTACCATGTGAGGTCTTCAGACCTCATTGTAGTAGCTCTCCCTCACATGTGCCCCAGTTTGAGTGCATTTGCCTGTGTAGCAGATAACTGGATTTCACAATGCTCCGGCTGATGCCCCCGCAGTGTTTGCAGAATGAAAGAAATATTTTCTTCGTTCTGCTAAAAATCTCTCACATGACAAAGCCCTGCATCACATTTACCTACATTCTATTAGTAGTTCATACTTGTAAGGAGACCAGTTAATCCAGCTGAATCAAGAATGGACAGGCCACCAATGCTTGGGCCCTAAGTTGATCCAGTCCTTTTAAAATAAGGGCCATGTTCCTCATCTTGTTGTGGGGGTCCTGTCAAAGGCTTGTGGGAAGACAATCTGAATAGCAGAGTCCTAAACTGTGGGACAGTTCCTCTTTCACTTATGGTGGTGTATCAGATGTTTACTGGAGTCAAGATAACTGAGACCTACTGCAATTTCCTCATCTAAAAATCACATTATCTTGTCAAATAGATAGATAAAGTCAGAAGTGCCTCACCGTCCTTATTTTTTCCTCCACAATTTGTTGTAAATTTTAGCATATGACTAAGGATGAACTAGTCAGCACCACAGATACCCATATCAGTGTTTCCTTTTTAAAATACAGTTACGAGGTTTGCTGTTCTTCAGTCTGCTGAGGTTTTGGTTTTTTGGGTTTTTTTTAGTATATTCATTAAAAATACCTGCTCTGTATTTATTACTGGCCTAATCTTCACTTTGTTGTACTACAATTGCATTCACTGCTAGGAATCTCAAAAAACCCCCACACAACCCAGGTGATCAATTACATATTGATAATGGAAATAGCAGCCTATATAGTGAGTGCTGGTTGCCAACAATTTGTCCTCAAAGATACATTCCCATGAAGATTCCAATTCTTCTGCAGCTGTAAATCATGAGAAGCTCTAGGGTGCAGCAGTGAAAACAGTTTCCATCAGTGGAGGTCCAAGGCACAGAGTTTAAACAGTAACAGATTACTAAGTCACTCTGATGGAGAGCAACTTCAAGACAAAAATAGTCCAAAATTAACTGAGTATATCATTGTAAATAACCAAGCAGTAGAGGAGCACGTGTGCTGTCAGGACTGAGTGCTCTGTCCAACTATTAGGCAGTTTATGCTCCCTGTATCTTCAATACTGCTCTAAAAGTTATGTCTTAGAGCTGTAATGTTAAATACCACTTGCCTATTTATTGGCTTATCTGAAAAAAGTTTGAGAGACGTGAATATATCAGCAAAATACTGTGAGTTTGGGGTAGCTCTTCCTATGCACGCTCTTGCCCTTCAGTAAATACACGGTAGTCACCTCTTTTTCGTCAATGTTAGGATGCCTCCAGTTGTTTTGCACTTGCTGCTGGGTAAGAAGCTACAGGCAAGCAGTCATGATTTAGTGGGTGAGCTACGTTATCTTCGTACTTGTGAGTTTAACTTCAACAGCATTTTTAAAGCCCTTTCAGTTTCTCAGATGGCACATGCCAGAGCAGTGCAAGGAGCTGTTGCTATATAAATCTAAATCCAGCTGTTAGGCAGATGTAAGGAATATAACGACAATTCTCAACTCATGCAATGAGCTAATGGGCATCCAGATAGGAAGCCCTGCTTTCTTCCTTCCATCAACCAGTAACTAAGGACCATCACCTGCTCTAGTTCTTTAGATAAGCTTGTGAAAAACAACAAAAGCTGATCCAGTTTGTTCTTCATCTTTTAAAAGCTAATGGGAAGTATAGGTTGCACCAGTAGAGAAATTTTCTATTTTCACTTTACTACAGTTGCTGATATTTGTCAAACTCTGATTGTTAGCGTTCTTTAGTGATGTAAAGCATTCTCATAAGTTGAGTCAGGAGCTGGAACAGTATGAAGCATTTCATTCCCAAGTGACAGCAAAGCCATGCTAACTGCAATCAAGGCAAATGTAATCCGGTTTGATACCGAAAGAACAATTTTCTATTTAGCTCCCCTTTGGGTAGTGACAGTAATGAGCGAGTTCCCCAAGTGCAGCAGATTGTTGCCTCCCTCATGATGATTTCAGGAAATGTGCTCTGATTGCAGTCACTTAGTGTCATGTGAAACCTCTACTAAATGGATTTGGGCGAGATGGGTTCAGTCCTTCTCATCTCAGTCCTTCTCACAAGCCAAGTGCAGCTCCTGAGAGCCAGCAGTATTAACACTGGTAACCTGCCTGAGGATGGGACGCTGGGTTTGGTTGTGCCACCACTGCGGAGCTGGCTGGTGCCTCACCACCAGGAAGTCCAGTCCCCATGCTTGCATCCGACGCTGAGAGCCCTCTGTACCTATGGTCACCTTGATGGTAGTGTGGCCCCATTACCAGAGTCTCTAAACACAATCCTTCAGCGCTTCTCTCTCCTGATCTCTTTCAGAGGCCACCTCCATTTAAGGGAAATTTTGTCTAAGAGTGTCAATACTTGGTCATCATTATTGCACTGAATAATGTGCGTGCTTCAGCTGAGGCAGAACAAGTATATTCTTTAGAAACAAAGAAGTTCTAAAAGTAACAATGACTACAATGTAAAATGATAAACATTATTACTGAAGAGGAGCTTTAATGAAAGACCTTGTATACCTTCCATTAAATCACACTAAAAATAGAAACAGCTAGGAATGACATGAGCGACAAATTACTTAAAAGTCAATAGCAACATGCTCATGATTCAAAATAGTACTTGTTAGCTTCAACATTTTAAAGTCCAGCTCTATGAGCTGTAGAGGCTAAAATTTCCAGAGGTGAGTTTTTATGGATGTGCATCAAAAATCTATGTTTGGGGTCATAGGAGGAAGTGCATCAGTCTGGACAAGTGTCCCCAGGTCTCAGGGCAGTAAGTTGGAGTTAAGGATGTTCAGAACTGACTTTCCAAGAGCTGCTAAAAAGATGAGTTAGGGAAGATTTAAAAGACATGAGCTTCCTCCCCCACAAACAACCTGTGAATGGATGGGAGGGTTTTGTTCTCTTTAGGACGTTACTAAACCTGCATAATATATTAGATTTATGCACTGGAATAACCTTTCAGCTAAAGGAAACCAGAAGTTTGGATTAGGAGTAGCTAATTAAGCTGACTTCTTCCAGCCTTCAAGTCCCTTGAGAGACATCTTTTCTACAATTATAAGATCATTATTGCAGATGGACATTTTTCTCTTTTCCAAAGCTTAACTATTAAACAAGTTAAAAATGTAATGGACACTTATACTTTTTATGGAGGTGACACTGGAGGTAGATAGTTAAAGTTGAATAGAATTTTCCACTTAAGGTAGGGATTTAGCAGGGGTTTTTGTTTTTGAGGCATGGAAGGATATACTTTCCTCACCAGGGCTATAGCTATCAGAAGACTTACAAGTAATTTGGGCAATTAATTTAGGTGTTAAAATGAGCTTTAAAACATGCCTTTAAAGAAATGTACCATTTGGGATCAGATATTTTTTGTTCTTAAGAAGTTTATTAGTTAGACTTCTATGACATTTCAAGTAAAATTCACTTAAATTACTGCACATCTATAGGTGAATGGAAGAATTTTCAGTGGTGTTTTTCTCCATTGTGTTTCATAACTGAAAGTTTTTGCCTTAAGCAGAACCTGAGGGAATAACATTTTCTAAGAGAAAAGTAAAGAATTCCCTTCTCCTAAAATGGCTGCAATCTTCCTCTGTTCTAAATAACACAAAGCAGATAGCTGCTCCCAATTAGGGATATACTGCAAAGTGCACTTATCTCCTTTTAGTCCCAGTTGACTGCTGAGCAAAGTTGAATAGTATCTCTTCATTCTCTGACATCTCAGAGTATTCCTAACTTTATTACTTACTGGCATGGTGGGCCACCATCTTCCCCAGGAGTGGATTAGGCTCCATTCCGATGAACTTGCTGGCCATCCTGGGGCAGAGAAGCTGTTGGTGTCAATGCCACTGGCAGCAATGGGAGGTGGTGACCACCCCAAGCAGTGAAAGAGGCAGCAAGGACAAGCTACGGGGTGTAAAATGCTGTGGTCTTCATGCCTAGGGAGAACAGAGATATATACCCCCCACAGGCATGCATGAGCTGGGTTACTCTGCACCAAACTGACATAAAACACCCTTGTCTGACACTGGATGTGAAGGCAGGGCTGGCGAGGTCCTTCTGAGGTTGGATGTGTCCCAACTTCAAGCCCCTTGAGAAGCTTTAGTTATTCCAGCACTGAGCTGCTGATGCTGAGGCGGCTGGAATGAGGATTGCCTTGGAGGACACCCAGAGGTGTCCAAGTGTGGGAATGCCCAGAGTGGCACCCCGCTCTGCCAAGCAGAGACCTTGGCAGGGAAAAAGTAAAATCCAGTGCCCCTCTAAAATCATTTGAACATAGAATGTCTCACAAAAAATAAACATGAAGGTGTTTAATAATTTCACATCACTTTTGCCTTATACAAGAAATACAGCATATCTTTAATGATTTTTCCTAAATTATTACATGCTCTCAACTCTTATTAAATTTTAATGCTGTTTTCTTCCAATATTACTGCAATCTGCATTAAGAACATAATCCAAATTTTTCTAAAATACACCAATAGAAAAGTAATTGTGACCTTTGGGATTTTGATAATGGAAATGTAATCACTGTTTTCAGGACCCTTTCATAACAAAGGACGAAGAACCGGGCACTTACAGGCCTTACGATCTTGGAGAGGAAATGGGAGTCTGGGTGAACAACTCTGATGGCATAACTCCTGCGGTTGGAAAGGTTGGTTTATTAAATTCTCTCATGCATTTGGTCTAGTGCTGCTTCAATGTGACAAAGCAGCTGTGTAACAGAAATGAGAAGATAACCAGGCGTTATACCTGTGACCTGTAGGCCTGGCCCCCCGGAGACTCGGTGTTTCCTGACTACACCAACCCCAGGACAGTCGAGTGGTGGACCCAGATGTGTCTGGAGTTTAAGAACGTCCTTGACTACGATGGGATCTGGATTGTACGTCTCATTATATTTGCCCTCCCTTGGTTTAAAAAAAAGGAAAATGAGGCTTTTGACATGTGTCTTACTCTCTTTATTAAAGGATATGAACGAACCATCCAATTTCTTGAAAGGCCAGTATCCTGGATGTGCTGATAATGATATCAATAACCCTCCTTACATTCCCAGTAAGTAAATTTTCTTTGACACCCTTTTTTTTTTTTTTAAATCCTGGATAGGCTATTTCTTAGAAAAAAAAAATCCATCCTTCATTTTCCATCTTTCTCTGTGTTCAGTTACATATTTGCTCAGGGCTTCATTGGCTCAGCTTTGATGGAGTATCAAACATGAGCCACTTTTTCCTCTGTCAGCCACTGGGGCTGCCTTAAAACAGGACTAGAAAAATGGTCTTCCCTACCATCCTCTGAGCAACTGGTCTGCATTGGAGAAGGGGCAAGATACCTATATACTGTAACTCAGCTACAGATTTGTGGAAGGAGAAACCCTTTTGCCTTACCATCGCCCTTGCTAGTCCCAGGGATAGGCAATCTCTGCCTTTTCCATAAACCATGACATGGAAGATGGCATCTCCCTGATGCCTTAATTCAATGTATTTCCTTTCACTTAGGAAAGGAATTTTCATTGCCTTACTAGAAATGGGCTAAAAATAAGTTTTAAGATGCCCAAGCCTATGGGAGACCAATAGGAATGGGAACACCTCTTCCAGTTGCCGAGTTAATGACATGCTCATTCCCCCACAGGAAGCCATGAGTACTTACAATTAGTGCCAGTGGTCCTGGCAATTAATCCAGCCAATATTTCCCCAGGAAAGCCCTGCTGCCTGAGCAATGCTAATATGCAGCAGAAAGTTGATACATAAATGAGTTAGTGAAGTATTGGAAATGCCCCTTTTCCCTTCAGGCTATTGTACTGTCATGTAAATTCTTCATTTGATTTATTAAATCTCATTTCACTCCAAATACAAAAGAAATGTAAACATCACAAAAAACATCACAAAATATTATAAGAAGATTGTAAATTATTGAAACCAGAAGCAGAGCTTTTAATTATGATTTTGGCGTTTGCTCTCTTTGTAGGCAAACTGCTGATTGTAACTGTTATATGCTGGCCCTGTGGGTCTTTGTCATTGACCAAAGCCCAGGAACTGATGAGACATTTCCACCTTTGCCTTAAGTTACCTCCATTTTTGTCAGCATTCAGAGCTCTGAAAAAAGGTGTGAGCCTTTGGTGAAGATGGCCAAAATAGCAGAACCCCTTTCACCCTCACAAATAAAGGCTGCAAAGCTGAGCTTTGCAACACCTAGCACTGAAGTCTGAGCCATTATGGAATAATCAGATTTAGGGACCTAGATATCTATGTGGCGTGTAAGGGCAATGAGGGATGCTGAAGAAAGGTGTGTTTTGAGCCCAGTTTCTCTGATGTCCCTTCTTGTGCAAGGATGCACCTACTTCTGCTTGTGACTCACTGTGTTGGTGTCCCTTCTGCAGACAGGAGCCTGAGGCATTTTTTCCAAGGTGTAGGTGATCTAAGCTGCTTAGTCCAAGAAGACATTAGGACCTTCCTGGGGCTGGCAGGGTTTTGGGTCCTCACTGTTTCCTTGGGTGCCTGAATCTGCACAAGTCCCGGTCTCGGTGCCTCCGGCTTTTTGTTGATGTAGCCTTCAGTCTCCTTATGTAAATTATAACCACGATTACATGTAACCGTGGTTTGAACTTCCAAAACCAGATGTCCTTCAAATCAATTTTATATAAAACACTTTATACTGAAGATCAGTATGCAATTGTAAAATAATCATTATTACTGAGGCAGAATAGAAAATATTCAGAATAAGAATGAAGCATGAAAGCATGATTCGTGGCAGCATTTTCTTTCATATCCCACCTTAATTTTATGGGGCTAATAATTAAGTGCCACTGGGACATAAAGTGTGACTTTCTCCAGAACCATAGTGTCTTCTTCAAAGCCGTATCAGTCAAAGTTACTTGGAAATTGCCTATAAATTAAGTTATTTCTGATGCAGATCAGCCACATTGGAGTCTTTGTGTCTAAAGACCCAAACACAAGGACTCCAGCTGTGGTGGCACAGCAGAGCAGAGAGGCTAATGGGTTTCCAGGTACAGAGAAATGCACTTTGTAGTAATGAACTGCAAACATACAGTAAAGTGCGATTAGGCAGTGAGATTGCTTGTTCACCGAAAGATATTACAATAGTGCATGCACCTAATTAAGCATGCAAAGGAAGGATATTTGAGAATCTACCTTCTTTCTTTTTTGAGAGGATTTTATAACATTTTCAACTCCATCTCTAAAAAATACATTGTATAAACCAAGCATCTGACCTGCCCAATTCCTGCTGAACTTCACATGGCATTTTCATGGAGGTTACCTGCGGAGGCTGAGAATCACATTTTCCTCACCAAATGGGCTTTGCCAGCATCTCCTTAATATGGGATCAAAGACCAGGCAGCATCTGTGCAGCCAATTTATGCCTCATATTGCCTCCCCTTGGCTCAGCTAAACCAGTGCTGTGCCAGCAACATCAGGGCTACTCCTGACTATTACTGAAGGCAAAAAACTGCTGCTGCCTCCACTGCCTGTGACCTGCCGATAGAAAGAGTTACTGGATAATCCATTCACGTGTGAATATACCCATTATAATCTGTCCTTGCTCTCTTCTGTGCTGCGTATCGGGCCATTGCAGATGACACCCTGTGGACTGCTGCACCTCGTGCTTTTTCCTCCCCTGCACACCTCCGACACTCCCCACTCATCGCTCGCAATGCTGCTCGGGGTCGTGCCAGTAGTCCTGCTGTCTTTTAGCCCTAGATGCCTCAGGGGAAGAGAGAGGCCAGAGTTGAGCTGAGGTGTGAATTTTGCCATGATAGGACAGAATTGTGCTGCCTACCTACATCTGCAGCTGAGTGATACGAAAACTGAGGTCTCGTGATTTCACACAACCATGCAAGTTCCCTGGGCATCTGAATTTCTGGTTTTGTTTTGTTTGTTTTTTTTTTTTTTTCTTGCAACATTTTTGCTTTTAGGTAAAATTTGTCACTATGTAAAAGAACATGTAGGCTTATTCTTAATTCAGCAATGCAGAAATTTTCTTTTCTGGCTAGTGCGTACTGAATACATGATATCTGTACAGATGTTTTTAATTATTGGACATAAAACTTGAAGTTAGCAGTTGGTCCTCTCACCCTCTTGAGGACACATGTGCCTGTCTGCAAGCAGGTATTCATGGCTACATGCTAATCAGCGCAAGCCTGGCACTTCTTCAGCTTTTCCTCTTCCCAAATCCTTTGGTGTTTTCATCCCTAAATGAGTAGAAATATGAAGAGATTTGAATTGTGATGTATGTAATTTTACAGTGTTATATATCATTCTCAGGCATTACTGATCGTTCCCTGGCGCAAAAGACGTTGTGTCCCGACTCCAAGACTTACCTCGGAGAGCATTATAACACACACTCTCTCTTCGGCTGGTCGCAGACAGAACCAACTTTCGAGTAAGTTTTCTAAGTATTTCTAAGCAGATTTCACATGATTGAAATACATTTTAAAAGCCACCGATGTTACCTGGGAAATCTGTAATAGGATCTAATAAGAAACAGCCTCATGCTTCATTTTACTAGTTGTCATTTAGTAAGAAGTTTCAAGAAAAGAGAATCTTGGAAGAAGATACAGAATCTTTCCCAATTTTACTTTTCTTAGCTAAAAGCAGGATCCACTTGTGGGGCTTAACTCTTCAGCTGCTGCTTTTGTACAACTAGAGCAAGATGTTCCTATGGTCGGTTGGGGCTGCTCAGGTGCAGCTGCTGCAGACCCAATCTTGTGTGGCGCCAGGGGAATTTTTCCATCCCTTTGTTACCATTGCCCAAGCAGAGGAGTTTCTGTCACTGCCGGTGAAGGATTTGAACCGTGCAGCTCCCCCGGCTGCTTCTGGAGTTGCCTCCAGTTCCTGGCAGGCAGCATTTTGCATTTTGGCTTGAGGCTCAGTTGGTTCAGGAGGGCAGAGCAGCATTGCAGCACAGCTGCTGTCGGCTACTGTAAAACTCATTTTGCAGCTGGGAAGCACTCAAAACTAGCTTACGCAGGCAGACTGTTGCTGTGAAGCTGGAGTGACAGTGGAAAGCTAGCTGTTGGATTAAATCAAATGGGCAAATCATGCCTTTTCCAGCAAGGATTGAGCTAAAACACGGGTAAGTTTAATACCGCAATGTAAGTGCCAAAGCAGGCGTCCTTGCGCTGGCTTATTTCAGTATTTAGCACTCATTTTCAGCAGTTGTGTTGTGATACCATCCAGAGGACACAGTTAAGCGACCCTGCTTGCAGTGGTGATGCACTTGTATTTTGTACGCCAAGCCTGGGGGAAGGGCAGAACTGGGTAGAAGCCAGAAGCAGTTTGCCAGCTCTTGTGGGCCTGGCTGAAGAGCAGCCCAGCTTTCGAGAGAAGGAGCAGAAAGCCCTCGAACCCTGAACCTCACTGGCCACCCAGGCCAGCTAGGACACACGGGGTGTAGGATGGTTTTTGGATCCTTACATCCCAATCTCAGCAAAGATCCTCCCATCGTGGTGTCTCCACTGGGATTTGTGCCCCACACGCTGGGATCCAGCAGAACACATAACCATACGCTGTCTTGGTAACTTTGTTCAAATAGAAGCTTTGGATTTGCTCACCTTCTTGAGCTGTTTTTTTTTAGTTTTATTCAGGCTCTGTGCCAGCAAAGCCAATTGTCTGAGACAAACCCTGTGAATTTAGCAGGAAAAGCTTGGTGTGCCAGCACATCTGCCCCAGCCCCTTCGGGGTGCATTCTGTCCTGGCTGTGCTAACCCGGACCAACGCCGTTGGGACAGTCACTGCTGCACGGCTCCTTGCAGCCTTCCCCAAAGTTGTGAACCTTCCCTGTTCCTGCAGCACTTGCTTCCAGGGCTCCTTCCAAAAGAAACACGTATTTTGCTCAGCCAAATGTAGGGAGTCCTTCAAGGCTGGATACCACCACCAAAAGCACAAATGGAGGCAGGATTCGCTGCAGACCTGGGAGCCTGTGGTGAAGCATTTTTCATACATAGTCATTTGGGTTTCTCAAGCGCATTTCTTTCCCAGACTGGTTGTATACCCTTTCTGCATTTGCTCTTCACAAATAATATACTAAATTAAATTACTGACAGGAATATTTAGCAAACCGGCATCAATTGCAGGATATTGGCTGAAAATGAATGACAAGTTCATAATTGTATAAAAAACAATTCTAAGAATTATTCTAATGCAGCCAGAGAATAGGAAATGTGTCGTCTGACCCCATGTCAAATGGCTTGAATTTGGATACACGAACTAGCAGCAATCAACTTGTGCATAGCTTAACGCCAAGAGTTATTTGCACATGATATTCTGTATATAATTTCAATCAACAAATACATTTGACAACATTATGACCTGTTTGGCAATGATTCACAATAGACTGGAATTTATTCAATAAATTACTTGTTGCAAATTGTTTGTGCAGCTCTGGGTCATAGTTGAGTTGATCCAATGTTGCCCTCATTAGCACCTGCATTTGCAAATGGAGCCAAAGACTTGTGCTGCACAGCCAGAGGAGAGGACTCATTCATGAAATGCCTCCAAAATACCATTTATACAAAGCACATGGAGTCTTGTGCAGTTATTGGGTCCAGCAGTGCACCAGCAGGTTAATATGTTTAGGCTTGTATGAAAACTTGTGGTGGGTTTTTGGGGTTTTTTTGTTTGTTTGTTTGGGGTTTTTTTTGCTTTGGAAACAAACGTTGAAGCATTTTAAAGGCTCTGAGCCATTACAGAACCGATACCAAACATTAGCCATTATGAATATGGATGAAGGAGCTCTTGATCAAATCTCATTAAGGAAAGGGAGAAGGACGTGGATGGTGAACATGATTAATATTTCATGCTAGGATTTCCCAGAGAATCTAAGTTGTGTTGCCCAAATCATATTAAAGCAGAGTTGAATTTGAGTTCCTGCAGCATATAATAGTGCAATATGTAATTACGTATGGAGATCATCCTATGTTGAGGAATTTTGTAACAACAGATTTGTTAATAAGGCATATTGCACTTCCTTGATTTTCTGATGATGTACAAAAAATATTTTCAAAAGGCAAGGAAAAATTCATTACAGAACTCATTCTGTAATGAAACCCCATATATCAAATAATGACAGGAAAGTAGAGGAATGACTACAAGGAAGGCATGACATTTTGAATGATTAAACTTTTGATTTCTATATTGATTATTTCCTTTTTTAAGATGTTCAGATATTGTTTTGATGTTTTGATTTTATATCGTACTTTTAATTACAGGATATTAGAACTTTATTTGCGAATAAAAATCTCTAAATAAATCCTATATTGAAAAAAATACATGTTATCTTGGTTTTTAGTAGCTTGTAGGTCACTAAATTAAATGTACTAATACAGAAAGGAAATTATGTTTCAGTTTTTCAGTTTGAAACACTGTTGAGAATAAATTAAACACAACTTATTTTTTAGGAATACTAAAAATACCTGAAACAAATTGTTCTGTGGATCAGATGATAGATTTTAATTTTTTATTTTGGCCACTGAGTAAAACTTTCCATTATTTGCAGTTTTGCAGCCACATTTTCACATGACTCGGGACCACAATAATAATTGTTTCATGAATAACACCCCTTCTGATAAAATTGTGCCTAAAAGCTCAGGTTGGTCATATGACTCTTTCAGTTACCATTCTTATTTTTAATGATCTTATTGCATTTCTTCGCAGCGTTGTCCAGCAAGCAACTGGAAAGCGAGCGTTTGTCTTGAGTCGGTCTACATTCGTTGGCAGTGGGAAGCACGGGGGTCACTGGCTGGGTGACAACTTCTCTCAGTGGAAGGACATGCACCGGTCAATCATTGGAATCCTGGAATTCAACCTCTTTGGCATCCCCTACGTAAGTCCAGTGTCCTTCAGGCAGTTGCTGGCTCATACACAATATCACTTTAAATTAACTCAAGTGTTTTCTGAAATAAGCTGCTTGAGACGGCCAGCAGTGACGGCCTCCACAGCATAAGGAACTGCAGATTAGAAAAAGCTAAATGTCATCAATCTTGGCTGGCTGAAGAGAAACAAAAATAGCACTGCTAGATTCAGATTAAATCACTGTATGCCATCCAAAACTGATCTCTTTATATTATGTATTCTATCATTGAGGTCCCTCTGTATATTTCTGGTTTTGCAAGCTGGGCTGGAGAATTTGTAGAATTATTGAAATACAGTTCAGATCTTCCATAGTGATGTTAATGCTCTAGAAGCCAGTACAATCTCAGTCCTGGAAAAATTCGTATCATTATGGACCATTCTTACAAAGTCATCAGAAATAGGTATCTCCATCTGAAAATTATTTTTATTAACAAACTTGTGTGATTTCTCATTTTTTTTGGCCTCAGTCACAATCACAAACACTTATCCAATGATGTTGTTTTTTTTTTTAGATTGGTGCTGATATCTGCGGGTTTAACTATAACACTACCTACGAACTCTGCTTGCGCTGGATGCAGCTTGGTTCTTTCTATCCATTTTCCAGAAACCACAATGCAGAGGGAAATAGCGTAAGTAAACGAAGTTACACAAAGCTGTAGTCTATGGTTACAGTAATGATGACAGTGATTTGTATTACTTTCTCAGAAATTAACCTGCCATTCTTGGGTAAACTGGAGCGGTGGGTGAAATGGAGTGCTGCAGTGAGAGCAGGAATTACATAGTGAAGTGTAAATTTTTCCCCTCCATAATGTAAAGATGACGTAGAAATGCTGAAAAATATGCAGTATCTAACATCCAAAAGCCATGCAGAAATGTGTACCGTGTACTTTGAATGACAGAAAATTGTCTTCCCATGCTGTTGGTAAGATTTGTCCCCTCCATCTTTTACCTACTGAAGCCCAGGTTTTAAGAGCCAGTGAGTGTCAGCACATCTTCCTACTCCATTGTTTGCCTCAATTTTTGTTTCAGTACTTCTGTAACTATAATAGATATTGCAGGAAGGGGAGAGAGGACATTATGCACCATCCTTGCTGTTTAAAAGCGAGTTTCAGACAAATGCCACAGCTAGAAACTCCAGACAAACAGGTGAGAACTCCAAGGAGAGCCAGCAATAGCGACAGCGTTATCAGCCAAGAAGCAACAAAGACTAAAAAAAGCCAATGAGCCCATGAGAAGGGTGAAAAAAGCGCAGTCTCTGTCCAGACCCATGCCCTGGCTTCGACTTATCATAAAGTCCTTTCGAGACTTGTCTCAGATAGAAAGGAGTATCAGGTTGTTTCTAACTATGAACAGTTTGAAGGTCTTGCAGCCTTTGTAAGTACACTGTGTTTATCTGCAACCACGAGGAAATGGTTCTGTCAGTTCAATAAATGCCTTTTTTTTTTTCTTTTTCTTTTCTTCTTCTGTGAACCACTCTGTGCAATGCTGGAGCTCAGGTTATTAGCTAACCTTCAGTTTTCTTTGAAGTTGGGTCATCCGAGTGTTGCAACATTTACACCCCCAGAAAGGCCTCTGGCTCTGCATGAAACTATGATGGACATTCAGCAACTGGGCAAATGCAGGAATAATAGGCTATAGTGCTGGCATTAAGAGCGTCAGCATTTACCTGTAGATCCCTGAGATATGCTGAGATATTTCTCTCTAGGAGAACAAATGTCTGTGAGGTGCTACCTGCTGCTGTTGATAAATAGTTTCTATTTACCTCTCTTCACTAAAATTAGAAGTACCTTATCTATAGATGTTTGCTTGGCCCTTTGGGCATGCAAATGGGGTCTGACCTGGGTGAGTGGATATTAATCACATATGCACAATTTAATAAGCAGGAAAAGAGCAATGGGTCTATATGACAGGAGCTGCACCTCAGTGTTGAGTGAATGACAGAAGCAGCAGAAGATACATTTTGTTTTATTGGACTACTTAAATCCATCTAAAACATTGTGTTCACTGAAAGAAATGAACAAGGCAATTTTGGGTGACTCAGCATCACCTAAGAAGTCTGACTGGGTTTTTTTGTGAACTTAGGCAATATTTGTACAGTGTCAGAATACTGGTAAAAATGTAGTGCAATTTTTGAAATAATAGATGGATGCTCTGGAGCTCAGAGCCAGCAGGGAATATTATCAGTGACTAATTCTGATGTAAACATAATAATGGAGAAATTTAACTTAAATATTGAGTTTAATTAATATTAGGTTTAGTGTTAAAATAAAATCTTAAATATCCATTTGCCTAATCCATTGGGGATTTCAAATGGTTTAATTAATACTTTTCTTGTCTGAAAAGCACTACATAATATAAAAAGCTTTGTTACTTCTGTTCCTTTTATGTTTCATTATCCTTGGAATTCATCATACGTTCTTCAATTTTAATGAGAAAACTGAGTATTATGGGAAAATTTTGTGAAGGAGGAAGGGAGCCGTGTGACTCCTTAGCTGACTCAGTTTAGCACTGGAAAGGTCGCACAGGAGGAATTAAAGGAGATGTAATTCTTTCCCGTATCAGCACTGCCCCGGGCTGCGTGATCCGCATCCCATCGCAGGGGAGAGTCAAGGTTGCCTTGAAGTAGATCAGAAGCAGCCAACGAGTGTGGACAGATTGCTTAAACGTGTCCTCTTGGCGGTGGGACCCAGCATGCGTGCCCTCTTTCCCAGGAGAGCGAGGAGGCCAGGGGCACTGCTGATGTGTGGCCGTCCCCTCGGTCGGGGCATCTTAATATGGTGGGCACAGGAGGAGAAATCAAATTTCTTTGTATGGATGAAATGTTTTCCCCACCACACGCAGTGACTTCGGTCATTCTTGTTGGCCTCAGCAGGGCCACGAATTTACTCTTTCTTTTAAATAGATTTGCCTTTATGTTCTCGGCCAACATAATTACACCTTTGCCTTTGCTTTGCAGATTATCAGTCTTCTCTTTTTCCTGTGTTTCACCTTCTCTGTCCCAGAGGGCTTGCGTCTCCAGGATGAATTAATTTCTGGAGGCAAGGTGTCTGTTCCTGAGTACAGACATGACACAAGGTTAGGGGTGGTTGCCAGCAGCTCACATACACCATGATGGGGCCTGATCTCTCTAAACTCACTGGAATTTTTCAAGTTGAAAAACTTATGCAAATATTAGTTTGCTGATAATGGATGTTGTTCCTAATACATCTTCCAGTTTGCAAATCAGTGCCTTTTCTTATTTAAACATTCACTTTTGTAGTACCATTATGTCAGCCACTGCTCTCCTTAGGTTACACATAGGTTCTCTGTTGTATTTGCAGACCCTAGTTATAATGCTCAGTAGAAATCAAAGCTTTTCCCTAACAGGAACAAGACCCAGCGGTGTTCGGAGCAGAGTTTGCCAAGATAGCTCGCGCTACGCTTCGGATCAGATACTCGCTGCTGCCGTACTTATACACCTTGTTCTTCGAGTCTCATGTTCACGGAAACACGGTGGTGCGGTCACTCATGCACGAGTGAGTTTGGACTCTCTCTTTTTTATCATATTTTACTCACAAAAGTAGTCGAGCTTCTAGGTATAAACTAGGTGCTACCTGTTTGAGAATAGCCACAGTAATGTTACTGCATGCTCTGTCTTGAAAAGAACAATTTTACAATGAAAACTAATGAAATTATATGCACAACAATAACTCTTAACATATGCAATGGATTTGCATTAAAATATAACCTATATTTGTTTCCAGTGGGGAAAAATCCTCCTAAGGAAGGAGAATTCAGAAAATTTCTTGTCTTAGGCAAATATGCAGTTCCTTTTTATTTTAAAAATAGGAATCATATACCTGTATTTTCTGTATTTGAATGAAAACTATGAAATCTGTATTCTGGTCCAGAATGCCAAGAAGGCCTCACACAGAGAAGTCTCCATTTTTCAATCATCCACAGCATTTGCATTTTCCAATTTAGCACTTGCATCTGGCTATGTATGAAACCTACATCTGTGTCCACAAATTGCATAGAGAAAACAGAGATAGAGATGTTTGAGTGTAGAAGCAGGTGCAAAACCGAGATTAATAAATACAGACTGAAAAACCCCTTGGAAAACGTGACCTCAGATTTTTGGAACAACTCATTTTTTCTGTTTGGAAGAAGCAGGAATCAAAGTGAGGTTTAGTTTCCCTCTCAGCATCTTTTAATTAGCTTTTTAACCTGCTTTTGGTAAATTTTCTACTTCAGAATGCTTTATGCAAAGACTTGAGCAAAAGGAGTGCAAACAATACATATGAAAGGCCACTGCCCAAAGCTCTGACACATTTTAGCCTCATTGGTGCCAGCTACATCCTGGACTGTTTAATGTTCTTTTTCCCTTTAGGTTAAAAACATTTTGGTTAAAGGGTAAGGCATTTTTTGCAAATTAAACTGAGATTACACTAAAGTGCAGACCATTTGAATATGTAAAAGATATGCACAAAACCTGTTTTACCTACTCAACGTAATGGCTAACTGATAATTCTTAAAAGCAGTATCCTTCCCCTTCCTACTCTGCTACCTTATTTAACTGGGTTACATTAAGGAGAAGTTTTATAGGTACTCATGCCTTACAAAGGGCTATATGCTATTTCGAGTATTTTAGCACAATTTTTGCTTAATGAGATTTGTGTTAATATTGGAAATGACCAAGTTCATTTTGGCATTAATATTAGCTAATCTCTGCTAATACAGAATTACTTTAGTGATGTTAAAGCTGCTTTTCTGGCTGTTCCCAGCATACTGTACTCGTACTCTAGTTGGGTAGCATCTTCATTAGCAAATTTCCCAATTTGCTTTGATTCGAATTGTAGAGCAATCTCAGATGCACCAGTGGAGACTTCCGTCGGGTGAAACCGAGCTGAAAGGTGCGCTCCAGCCATTAATGGGAGTTTAGTCAGTGGGACCAGACTGGGATTACTAGGAAATAAAACCTCTAAAATGCATGTAGGGAGCGTAGGCATCAGGAGATCGGCACAACCTGTTTCACTACCAGGTCCCACCCTAGTGGGCACATCACTTGCTAATGTTGCCTTAGCTGGATCCTAAAATGGCTTAAAAGTATTTCTTACTATTATTAGTTAATTCTGGTTACTATTGTCACTGAATGAGTATTTTTTACTATTTCTAATTAATATTCCTTGGTTTAGTGGGTCTGCTCAAGTAGAGAAGGTGACCCAGATGCTAACAGGAGGAGAAAAATGGGTTTTAGAGAAAGAGAGAACTGAAACAGAATTTTCGATGATGGAATTTTACATCAAATCTTTCCCTCACTTGTAACAAATACAAAGGAGAGCTAATAAAATGGCACTGGTTTTTCAGGTGGAGCTGTTATGAGTACACAAGCCTCACCGTGAAAACAACTCAGCTTGGACAGGGAGTCTCCAAGCAATAGCTTTTTCTTGTGGTCATTTCAGATTTTTCATTTCATTTCAAATATTTAGGTGCTCGTTTCAGATAAAAAACAAGAACAACATCTCGGTAGATTCCTAGAAGTGTTTTAGGTGCCTCTGAGGCCTGTACTCAGTTGAAACAGAGGCGCCAGTAGCACAGCCGTCCAAAAAGACCTGGAGGTGGTAATCCATTACTGGAAAGGAAAGCTCTGCTTAATAGCTATAAAAGGGAAAAATAAGACAGAAGGGAGGCCAGCATCTAACCATAGGAAGCGTGTAGATGGAATTAAACACCTTTCATAGATCACAGATATGGCTTAATGGCTTGTATTTTCAAAATGGGAAAACTAATTTGTTTGCTGAATTTGTGCTCATGGTCACTATAATTGCAAGTGAAATTAGTGCCAAGTTAGATGGCGAGACACTTGTTTCCACGTGCAAATAAGATTGACTTCTCTTTTGTCATAACTTCTTGATCAGCTTTCTCTCCTGAAATCTTCCACAACAAGGAATATTGAATTAATATTATAATTTTATTACAGCAAAATTAAAAACACAGAGATGACAAGAAAAAATAATGGTTTATGTTTCAAAAACTTTAAGACAAGGTAATACGTCAAAAACCACACCCGACTTTAAATGTTTACAATGCACTATGTCAAAATGCAATAATGATCAAGATTAAGGTGTCCAAAAGAGCTACTGGTTTAGACAGAAAAAGAAACTCTGAACAAATTGAGATTTCTTTCAGGCAGAGCCTGAGGCATGCCTTCAAGAACATTTTTTCCTGAGCTCCACGTACTCCCTGAACTTGCAATATTTTAGAAATCTGAACACTGAATAGACATCTTTTTATTGCTAAGGTGATTTTGGTCATTTGGGGTAATTTCTGTAAGTCTGGATGGGGTGCACAGTGTATCCCTGTGCTGTAGCCAGTGGGCAGGACGCCGACACTGACCCACTGCTCCGGCCAGCCTACAACAGCAACCTGTCTTTAGACAGGGGCAGCTGCAAAGTCAGTTAAACAGACACAATAAATACTTTTTTTAAACAAATATTTTGTACATCCTTAGAGAATAATGCGTTAATATGCAACAGCCAGTACAAATTTGTCAAAAATGGTAAACCAGCACAGCTGTCGTCTTTGACAAGGCAGCAGGGCTGTTGTATGAGAAAGGAGGCAGAGGAGCAGGAGAAATCAGGAGGTACAAGGTACCATGATTTTAGGAGGGCTTGGGACACGCTTCACATGGTATTCTTATAAGCTAACTAGGAAATGAGGATCTGTTATGAATTTCCTCAGAAACAGGTTTAAAAATGATTGAAAGCCTATTTAAATTCTCAAGGATTTTATACCGGATGAGTGGAGGTTGCTGAGATGGGGAGGATCTCTCCCCTTTGCCAGGTGGTATTCAGTATTTTTATTAGCTGAGGCATGGTGGAATAGCGATCTCTTCCCAAGCTGGCAGATGATGCTAGGCGAACGGGACTGTAAGCACTCTGGGGAACATGATCAGCATCCAAAACGATTTTAATGCATTGAATAAAAATGGACTGAATTCCGTTAGTTTTTATCCATTCAGGAAAGGCAGCTAAAAAGTGCAATATGTATGAAGGTTGCTTTGTGTTTGTCCTGGAAAAGATTTCTAATGCAAAGCTGTGGAATGTGCAGGGAGCCAAATCCAAGGTTTTTCACAAATGCTTTAGGTCCTAAAGCACAGTGTTATGGCTGTGTGTTTCCCCTCTTGGTCTTGGCCTCTACCCTCGATGAAGTCTCAACCCACTGGACAGAAATTAAGTTAGTTGTTTTCCCACCGCCGCTATTCTGAAAAGAAATCAGCTCCAGCATTTTGTGAGGGCTCTGGTCTGCTCCAGTATGGTAGGTGCTACTGTAATTTCTGAATCTCTGTCCAGCTTTTGGCATTCCCTCAACCAGGAAAAATATTTGGTGGTGTTGAAGGATGTATTGAGACAGCAGATTTCTTGTCACAGTGAGTAACATGAAAATATTCTGCAAGTTCTATAAAAATATGAATTAACATTGCATATCTCATTTTCAACACTAGATTTACCTCTGATCAGCAGACTCATGGAATAGATACTGCCTTCCTTTGGGGACCTGCTTTTATGATTGCTCCTGTTCTTCAAGAGGCAAGTACTGTAATTAAAAAATGCCATCATACTGCAATAAAAGAAATGAACTGTGCTTAGAGCATCGGATGACATTCAGGACATGTTTCCTCGTATCCACCCATTTCTTCCCTCCACTGTCAAAGCTTGCAGAACGCAGTTCTGAGCAGCACAGACAGCACAGAGTTGCCCAGTGCTTGAAGTGGGAGGATGAAAGTGAGGGCACGGCATTTCCCTGCTACTCTGAGCGCCGAATGGATGTAAACAGGCTGGATGCTGCCCCTCGCATGCTCCTGTTACTGTGCTGACGGCTGCCTCCAAAGACACACACAGAGCAGTAATTGTTGAGCTAGGAAGAAACATGCAGATATGAAAGCAAACTGGTTTCCATATTACCACTCGCCCATAGCGTTTTGGAACTGCAGCATCTCAAGGGCTGTGCTAGGAGTTTCCCAGCATCACAGGCACACAAAATCATTACGGAAATGGTAATGACAATGTTAGCTGCTAATATGACAGGTTTTAAAAAGCAGCATTTTCCTGTGGCTGTGCTGGGCACAGCAGTAGGGTCAAGGCTCTCGCTGCTGGGCTGGAGCAAGGGTGGGTTTCTTTCCTTGCCTCACCACCAACTGCTGACAGCACCAGAAAGGTATGTCTGAGCAGGCTAAATATTTGCACGTGAGGTATCCTAGAGCTGTTTGCGATCAGCGTGCTGGCAGAATATCTGATACGTTTTCTAGACGTTGCTGATGATCAAACATATAAATAGGCCGCTGTTAGTCACCTTTTTTTAACCAGCCCTTGTGCCTCTGTGAATTCAAAATTAAATTCTTATTCCTGCATCTAAAACCATTCTGACTGAGGCACTCAATTCGTCAGTCCTTCATCTTCAGACTCCCCCAGGTTTCTAACAGCTGATGACTAACAAGGAGATTCACGGGGTCTCAGACCAGCACAATGATGAAAGATGTGACAGAAACCTTCCCATGAAGAGAGGGTGACAAGCCAGGTGGCTTCCTGCAAAGAAATGAATGAAAGGGAATCTTATAAGGATACATAAAATGATGGAGGGTCTAGATTAGGGGTTCCTAATGTTTTTTGGGGGACTGCAGCACAAAAGAAAGGCCGGGTGCCTGTGGCCTGATGAGGGAAGCAGAGCTTTGGAAGTGACACATTGCTGGGTCCTGCAGTGGGAGGGAGGTGGCAGCCAGGGCTCGTGCCAGCTAGCAGGGTACAGGACAGAGGTGAGCTGCAAGTCCCTCACCGTGGCATTGCACGCCAGCGGCGACTGCGTCAAACTGCAGCATGGCACCTGCTTGTCTAGAGAAGATGGGTCAGGGACAGCTTTCCCTTTGGGTCAGGGACAGCTTTCCCTTCACTCCTTGAGTCCTAGAGTGTGAGCAAGTGAGACATCCATCAAAATTAAAACAGGGGACTGCTTTACACGCTGGCTTGTTATTTAGGGAGTCATGAAGGCAAGGTTCATCACAATTCAGATGGTGGTTACACACTTCTCTGGAGACCAGGATATCCAAGGTTGTCATAATAATGCAGGAAAAATATGGAGAGGGGGGTATCTTGACTTTATAGCGTTTTTCCTTCAAGTTATTAAGGCACTTATAGATTAAGCCTGCCTCTAACTGTTAAACAGCTAGTAAGATCTAAACAGACGGAGCAAACTACTGCAACCTTCCTTACTGCAGCACTAGGACACTTTGCCTGAAACACCTAGCACTGCCCGCTGTGGGACACAGGCTGCAGGACAAGACATGTTTCCAGTTTAGCAGTTCTTATATTCTAATGAGAGATTTGCATACTTCAATAAATCAGTTATTTCTTACTCTTTCCATTGGTTTAAATATATATATATATGTATA